TTTGATTTACAGACGAAATAACGTTCGTAGTAAATGTGGATTAATGGCGCTTGAAAATTTGAGTAAAACATTTTCTCTGTTTGATTTTTGTGCGCTTTGTTTTTGGCCTTTTTCTTGTACTCTCACTTTTGTGTCTTTAATTATTAGGTTAGTTGTGTTGCTGTGAACTTGAGAAGGTCTTAAAACGCATATCACACATTTTTTTTTTTTTTTTTTTTTTTTTTTTTTTTTTTTTTTTTTTTTTTTTTTTTTTTTTTTTTTTTTTTTTTTTGTACTCAACGATGGCTTGCTGGGACGCTTATATTGAAGTGGCGCATACTTTATAAGGGCGCGAGCTCTTAAGTGCTTTTGTGCGCTATAAAATTTCAATATCAAAGTATATGGTATGTGTGGGAAAGTCAACTGAAGTCAAATTCTAAACTAGTGCAAGTGATACTTACGCCAAAGTGCTCCGAACAACAACTAATTTTGGACGACTTTCACAAAGTGCGTCTTCAAGTGATCTAAGACCTCAATTGCATTCACCATACCTTCGATGAATACTGGTATTTGATGAAACTTCATCGCCGAGAAATCAATTAAATTCATCGCTGCACTATTGCCAATTTTATCCACGTCGAAAATTGTAAAAAATAATAACGCAAATATTTTTAATTTTTTCACCGAGCTATATATTTAAGTTACTGTAAGTTACTGTAAATAAAACAAATAATAGCGCGAAATGTTTGTCAATTTAATCTTATTTTTTGCCTGAGATGAATAGTTTAAGTTACTGTAAATAACACAAATAGCGCTGAAATAGCTTTTGCTGAGTTAAGCCAAGTCGAAATTTGTAAAAAATAAGAGCGCGAAAATTTTGTCGATTTTATTTAATTTTTTGGTTGAGTTGAATATTTTAAGTAACTGTAAACAATACCAATAGCCCTGAAATCGTTGTTGCTGAATTATTCCACTTCGAAAATTGTAAAAAAAACATAATCACCTGAAAATTTCATCGATTTAATTTAATTTTTTGGTGGAGTTGAATATTTTAAGTAACTGTAAACAATACAAATAGCACTGAAATTGCTGTTGCTGAGTTAATCMACGCCGAAAATTGTAAAAAATAATAGCGCGAAAATTTCGTCGATTTAATTTAATTTTTTGGTGGAGTTGAATATTTTAAGTAACTGTAAACAATACAAATAGCGCTGAAATAGCTTTTGCTGAGTTAATCCACGTTAAAAATTGTAAAAACATAATAGCGCGAAAAAAACATAATAGCGCGATTTAATTTCACTTTTTGACCGAGTTGAATATTTTAAGTTACTGTAAATAACAAAAATTACGCTCGTATACAAAAACGGACTGAGTATGTATGTATAAGTCAAAAGATTACGTTAAAGCGCTGAATTACCAGCTTAAAACACTAGAATTGCCAAATCCCGCTAAACATAAGACAACCCTCGCATATACCAGAAATATGAAAATATGTTTAAAAGCGCAGTCATTTTTTCTTGCTGCGTTATAAAATACAATTTATTGCCTTACTGTGAGATTATTTACTGTAGAATATTATTTTGGCTATAAAATGGCATGAAATAAATATGCTGAGAGTTAATTTTTCGCCTTGCAAGGGTTCCATTCATACGCGTTGCATTTATTTGAAAGACGTTTGATGAAATATATATATTTATTTACATATCTACACGCACATAAAAAAATTTGTTAGCCCTTATGCAGCTGAAAGTGAACTTAGTAGGCAGCCGGCAGCGTTAACCTTCACACTTAATTAGCTGATTTTGTTTTATGATTTACAAACTAAGCGCTAGTAGTAAAATGTTTACGGCTTTAGCTTCTTTTTATCACTTTTCAGCGCATCAGGCATACAACTTTTGATTGCACAACTGCAGTTTACTTAGGTGGCATGCATATTTTTACAGGTGAGTGCGGAATTTTTTTGGTCTGTCTCGTGTGCGTCTAACTGCAGCGCAGCGTAGCTAAGCGTTGTTCACTGGCAGCGGAGTTCAGAGCTAAATTGTTGCTAATTGGGTTGTGAAATGTCATTGCTTTGTTAATTAATAGGAAAAAAGGAGGATAGCTGTTGACTTAGGGTAAATATGTAATATTGGGTAGGATTACTCATACGCTCCGTTAAACATTAGCTTCGGGCGTTTGAAATGCGTGTCGCTGTATAATAATGTTATTAATACATTTGAGCGTAACAGTGGCCAACTGCGGATGCATTCTTGCAGATTACAAAGGCACACAGCTAATTTGGTTATATTTGGAAGCAGTAGCTTAAAATTGTTGTAGTGAATCGTAATCAATAACAACAAGAAGCTAGAACAGCTTCACATGTAAAAAAATTTCCGTAATAGTAGATCGATCTAGAAAATTTCTTCGGATATTATAACTTTACCTGCGGCAAATATTTGTGTCATATTTCGAAAAAAAAAGTTTTTCATACAGGTACTTAATATTTAAAGTTCGCTTTGTATGCCAGCTATTTGCTATAGTTCTCCGATCTAAATAATTTATTCTCAAATTATAGCATTACTTTGGGAAATAATCTATACCAAGTTTCTTACAATTATCTTGGTTAATAGAAAAGCTTTCCTTACAAGAACTTGATTCGTTTTTGACAGTGGCCAGATATCGGCGATAAATAAGTATTTTTTTCCGAGAAAAAGACATGAGTAAAATTTCAGAGCGATATCTCAAAAATCAAGGAATTTATTCCTGTATGTATAGAAGGATGGCAGGACGTATCGACACGTTAAATCGATCATGCTCAACTCATACTACTGTAGGCAAACAATAGTAAGACTTTATAATTTAAATTTCGTCGATATATTTTTTATCCAGATTATATTAGCTTATCAGTGTGTCAAATATCACATCAAAATAATCATTGCAATTTAGTATACCCTTGCCTTTCTGAACTACATAAAGTGCGTTCGGCGATTTTTATGATGAGTGAAATTAGCAACAAACAAGTTCCATTAAATTATATGTGCGGAATCAAAGTTCTAGTTCCGGAACGTTCAGAATGTTGGAAAAGGCCTTCGTTGATGATTGTTTGCCCCGAGCAAGTCTTTTAGATTGGTACACATTATTCAAAGAGCAATGACAACGCATTGACGAAGTACAGCAATCAATCATGAACCGTTCCCAGAACAGTCAGGTATATGTAACCGGAAAGGACCTGGAGTTTTTATCCAGTCAACACATCAACAAAAGAAAGGTACATACTTGGTGCTTGAGAATCAACGATTAATATTCAGAGATCTTACTGATATCGTTGGAAAATTGAAACGATCCGTGATAACCATTTTGAAAGACAATTTGAGCCTAAGAAAAAGGAAAGCGCGATTGGTTCTAAAATCCCTAAATTATTAAAAAAAAAACAGCGTCACGTTATTGTCTATGAAATAAAGCTTTCCGACTTCCAGGATGTCATGAAACATGATGAGTCTTGGAACTATGCTTTCTACCCGGAAACAGACGATCAGTCTGCCGAATAACGTGGCAAAGATCAGGCGACGCAGAAACGTCAAAGCAGGTAAAAAATTAAGGTTATGTTGACAGATTTTGTGCGATTAACGAGGTGTGGTGCACTTCACATTACTTCCGACCGGCCATTGTCATGAAGGAATGATATTTGAGTGTTTTGCGTCGTTTGCGTGAAGCTATTTGTAAAAAGAGACCGGAATAATGGGCCGAAAACTCTTTGTATTTGCACCACGATAATCCACCTTCGCATACTGCATTGATTCCTAGTTAGTTGTTTTTACTAAATTTTCATCAACATCTAGCCGAAATTACCAACCAATTAATTCACCTAATTTAGTTTCGTGCAACTTCTGAGCAAACTAAAACAACTCCGGGGAAACCTTTCTGAGTCAATTAAACGTCAATCTCTATTCACATCGAAAGCTATTTCGGAAATTGACCTTAATAACTGTTTCTATAACTGAAAAAAACGTTGATGGTGTTGCTTTTGAGAAAAAAATGAGAAATATTAAAATTGTTAACAAAGACTTACTAATATTTTCTCACAGTAGTATATCAATATTTTATAAGATCTGCGATGTTTCCATCAGGTTTCTACAAACTTGTTGGCAAACTTAATGTGACCTATATTGAATACTCCAGATGTACTCTGTTTATAAATTACTTGCATATTTTTTGGGTTGGTTTATTTTAAAGTTTATGAGAATTTTTTACCGTGGGAAACACGGTTGTGAAAGGAATAGGCAACCTAAACCCGATTTTTAATTCTTCCGGAAATATTTAGTCTCAGTTATAGGCTATATTTTATTTGCGCGGCCTTATTGCCAGTATCTGTGCAAAAATTGCAAAAAAAAAAAAATCCGTTGACCTTAGCACAGTAAGCAGAAAACCGGTAAAAATAGAGTCTGAATATGCACTCTTTTTATAATAAGTATGTAAATCTACTTTCTGTGCTGATTGGCCGCATTTCAAATATTGTTTTTTTAATTGCTACAAGCTTTTACTTTTGTTAAATTTATTTCTTGTTTATTTTTTTTTTTTATTAAATTTATTAGTATTTACAGTGCGGGTTCCTTAGGGGGTTTTGGGGAATTGGGCCCCCCTTCCCACCAAAATCGGATATTATAATTTTCATTCTAAAGAATTTAGGACAGTAACAACAGTATTAAAAATATGTTGAAAAACAACGGCGCACCCCTTTC